TTACAATTATTTTTAGAATAATTGTACATAAAAGGGTTAAGCAAAAAAATTGTGATTATTTCTATTTGACATTTGACTGCAGGCAGACATACATTATGGTACAGTACAACTATTTGGAGCGCCCCTTATTTTATTTTCTTAATGATGACGTAATTATCTTTTGACTCCCCTGACAGCGGCACCTTGCTCAAAAAAAAAACAAACCAAAAAAAAAAGAAAAACTCAGTTGTTGGAGATATGCGAGCAAAAAATAATAGATGAAAAATGGATAATAGAAAGCGCGAAAAGGCTGAAAAGGCCAGTAAAAAAAAAAAAATAATAAAAAAAAAATAAGTGGGCAGCATTAAAGCATTCTCTACCATGCTAAGGCATGAAACTCCAGGGCTGAAAATGAGTCCCACTCCGGCCCTGCATTTAGTAGTTTGCAAGCTAACCAAAACTGAAGCGTTAATATAATTATAAATAGAGATGCACCGATACCACTTTTTTCAGAACGAGTCCGATACCGATACTTTCATTTTTGGTACTCGCCAATACAGATACATGTAGTTTCACAGCATTTGTAATTTTTTTTTTTTTTAATATTGGGTACAGAAACAAAATAATAATAGTAATAATAATAATATGAATCATGTTAGTTGGCTTCATTTAGCAAACAGATATTATCTTCAGTTATTTCCACACTTAATTATACCTGTTAAAATGTATTTTATAAGCTTTTGTTACTTTCACTGTTCATTTTGATGGCGCATTAGCAGCCAGTATTGAACTGGCTGCTCCATTGCAGCAGTTCAATACTGTAATCACAAAGCGTTTTCCTAAAATAATGCAGGGAACCAAACGATATACATTATACGAGTGCACGCATACTATTTTGGTCATGTAATTTGCGTCACGCGCAGTGTACACGGACCCTCGCGTACGAGTAAAAACCGAAGTATACTTTGGCCTTAAAGCAAGCTAGCTAAACGTACGCAGTGCGCACACGTTTGTATTGGTGCAGAATGAGAGAGACACTTACAGCCTAGTGCATTTCACACAGTCTGCTAGTTTCACTTCTGCTTTAAATAAAGTTGTGTATGTTTGACGTTTAAATGAAATGTTGTTTATAGTGAATTCCCCTATAATGTTTGTTTGTTTTATATTTACGATTTACAATGGTGGACAGTAACGTTACTGTACTTAAGTACATTTTTCAAGTATCTGTACTTTACTGGAGTAGTTGGGGAAGTGGGGAAGTCGTGGCCTAATGGTTAGAGAGTCGGACTCGTAACACAAAGGTTGCGAGTTCGAGTCTCAGGTCCGGCAGGAATTGTAGGTGGGGGGAGTGAATGTACAGCGCTCTCTTCCACCTTCAATACCACGACTGAGGTGCCCTTGAGCAAGGCACCGAATCCCAAACTGCTCCTCGGGTGCCGCAACATAAATGGCTGCCCACTGCTCTGGGTGTATGTTCACGGTGTGTGTGTGTGTGTTCACTGCTGTGTGTGTGCACTTAGGATGGGATAAATGCAGAGCACTAATTCCTAGTATGGGTAACCATACTTGGCCACATGTCACGTCACTTTAGTTTTATTTTGAGAAACTTTTACTTTTACTTCACTACATTCCAAAGCATAAGATCGTACTTTTTACATCACTACATTTCATAAAACATATCGTTACTCCTTATAATATATCACGTGCTCTGACACGCAGAAGCGGTGTCTGATTCAAGAACGAACTGATTATTTTCAATGAACCCGTTAAATCGGCTCGCAGAATGCACCAAACAATTAATTCACGAATTAGAATGAACCAATTGCAGCTGTTCTCGAGTCGGCAACTCACTGATTCAAATGAACCGTTTAGTGCGAGTCTCCAGTGAGCTGAATTCACAAGTAAGAACCGGGAGATCTTGTGAGCGCGCGCGCGTCTGATGCTGTTAAAAGTAAGTTACTAATGTCGAATTTTAGGATTAATTATTGTAACTGAAAATC